TTTTTTTATTTTTAACTTCATGTTGAACTATAATATACAGACAGAAAAGTGTACATATTCTGCTTGCTGTGTGTTCACAGCCCCAGCGCTCAGATTAAGAAACAGTGGTTTACCAGCATCCCGTAACCTTTTTGTGTCTACTTCTGGGGATCACGCTTTGAAAACCACTGGTAGGTTAGAAAGGCTTGTGATCAGCTGTTGGTGGGTATGGAAAAGGCATTGTGGAGGAGAGGGAATTACCCCAATAGGAGGGGATCAGTTGTGGCAGCTGTGGGTCGCAGACCCCACCTCTCCCTCCCTTCCATTTAGTCTTTGTTTTTTCTCATTAAGGTAATGTGAATAGCAGGGAAAGATTCTTTCCAGAAAGATTCATTTGATAAGAATAATTAGACTAGACTTCGTAGAATTGTGTGTTAAGCCTTTGTTTTTTCTCTCTTTAAACCCATCTCTTTCAATTGTGGCTTTCCAGTTAATTTTTTATTTTGTTTTTTATCATCTGAAGAGTGTGAAGTCAAGGGAATGTAGAAACACATGAAAACTTACCTTGAAGCTTTCCTGCCTTTAATTCTCCCAACTCTAAGTCAGGCAGGGGAATGGATTTTTCCTCAGGTGCCAGATCTTTTGGATTGGAGGTGGGTCCCTGGAACACTGCATTGGAAGGGTTTGGAGTGGAGTCTGGGCTCAACAGGAAACAGTGTTCTGGTTGATTAGAGATTTTGACCGTGGGCAAAAGAGACTAGACTGCTATCTTGAGTACCAGATTTATTTGCCTTGTATGATCTAAATGATACTTATGCCGTTTGTTGACTTGTAAACTTAGCACTCTTCTCTCGGACCTCTCAGTACCTGGGCTTTGAGATTGGATGTAGGACAAATACAACTTAAAAAGTTGAGCCAGTAGTCTCCCTTCCTTACATATATCACATGGATTCATAATACTTCCATACGTCTTTGATCCTCCTTTCCAACCTCTGATAAAGTTCATCTGTAGTGTGAAAATACCTGTGGTGGCAGCGGCAGTTCCAGTCAACATATTGCACTGCCAGTGGAGTATGGGAGTCCAGTCAGTGATTGCCGATGCTTTTCTAAATGTGTAGACATGGCTGAACTGTGTGAAGGAAATGGAGAACTTCACCATAGGAGGGTTGCAAACAGAGTCGATGAGAAATTTTAATTTAAAGTATATTATTTAATATCAAGCAGGGTATCCAGCTTGATAATGAGTAATAGCGTGAGTACCTATACATAAGAGTGTGGTGCCGTTGCAGCAAAGAGAAGATTGAGAATAAAGGAAGATTGGATTGAGGTAGAGAACAGAATTTTGAGCACCGAAGGTCTAAACATACCTTTCTCTTACCTACACTGTGAGCTGTTCTAATGTCTCATAAGAATGGTTATGATGATGTAATTGTTACTTGTTTTTCCATTTACTGAAGAAATTTTAAAACTCCTATTTGGATATGAGGAAATTTGCAACCATATAGAGGCAGCCCATTTAAGTACAATGGTTGTAGTTTTGATATGCATCTCTACCTTATTACATTTTATCAGATTTTGAATTGTGAAATTAAGGGTTATTAAAGGGAGGAACGGAGGAAATGGCATTTTCACTTTTTTTTTTTTTTTTTTTTGGTGAGGAAGGTCACCACTGAGCTAACATCTGATGCCAATCCTCCTCTTTTTGCTGAGGAAGATTGGCCCTGAGCTGACATCCGTGCCCATCTTCCTCTACTTTATATGCTGTGGACGCCGCCACAGCATGGCTCTACAAGCAGTGCGTCGGTTTGCGCCTGGGATCTGACCCTGCGAACCCCGGGCTGCCGCAGCGGAGCACGCGCACTTAACTGCTTGTGCCACTGGGCCAGCTCCCGCATTTTCACTTTTTAAAAGTCTTAAAGCCCTTGCTGTTGAGATACCACATAAGTCACATTGATTGGAATGAACACAAGATGTTAAAGCTTCTAAAGGAACTTTTCTGTAGTAAATGAGAGAACAGAGAGTGTGTGGGGGGGTGTGTGTGTTTGAGCACAGGCAACTCCCCCTAGTCAGAATATATGCATCAGACTGTCAAAGAAGCACACTGCTTGTTGCAAGTAGATTCATATTGTACTTTTAATGTAAGTATTCAGTGGTATGAAACCAATCAAAAAGTTATCTGTTGGGCATCTACCAGGTGTAAGACCTGTATGAGGTACAAAGATGAATGTCAAGACCCAGTTTTTATACTCAAAGAATTTGTGATCTAATTAGGATCTTAAGACATGTACGCTACTCTATTGCAAAGCGATTGTGTGTTAAGTGTTAAAAGTGTGGTTTAAAAAAATTATAGAGGAATTTAAGGGAGAAAAAGTTCTTTCAGCCTAGGAAGTCTTCATGGGAAAGATGGAATTTTTACTAAGAAAGTAGTTCTTGGGGCGGCCCTGTGGCGGAGCGGTTAAGTGCGTGCGCTCCGCTGCTGGCGACCCGAGTTGGGAGTTGGGATCCCACGCGCGTACCAGCGCACCGTTTGTCAGGCCATGCTGTGGCAGCGTCCCACATAAAGTGGAGGAAGATCGGCAGGGATGTTAGCTCATGGCCAGTCTTCCTCAGCAAAAAGAGGAGGGTTGGTATGGATGTTACCTCAGGGCTGATCTTCCTCACCAAAAAAAAAAGACAGTGGTTCTCGAATGTACAGTTCCCAGGCCAGTAGCAGCAGCAGCCTGGGAACTTGTTAGAAATGTAAATTCGCAGACTCCACCTCAGATCTGCTGAATCAGAAACCCTAGAGGTAGGCCCAGCAATTTGTGTTTGTAAGCCTGCTAAAGTTTAATCACCACCGCTCGACCAAGGAAATGGTGGCTCAAAGGTGTGCTGACTGAATTTGAGGAGGAACAATGACTGGTATATAGTAAGTGTTTAAAGGATGGCAGGCAGAGTGAAGGAAGTGCACTGAAGGGGTTAGAGTTTCCTGTGCCATTCAGTTTAGTTTCTATTTAAAGGAATTCTTTCCCTGTGCAGTTTGATCCTTATTTCATCCAAATGTCCTTTGTAACCGTCTTGTCATTTTCATCTCTTATTATTATGATAATTTAAAATGTTTACATCATCTGGATAGGGGATAAAGTTTGCATTTTTGTAAGAATATTTGATTCCTTTGGAAAACGTAAACTCTCAGAATGATTCAACAGCTTTGTGGCGAAGTACTAGGTAAATGTATATACAGAGTACATATTTAAAAAGAGGATTTCATGTCCTCTCTCATCAGGTCCTAGATAAATATTTTTTGAGACTGAAGTTTTAAAACTCAAATTCATTTAATGATGTCATGGCAGAGACCTCAACATAAAAGTGGCACAGGACATAAAAAGTGGGATGTGTTCCCCCAGCGTCTCCTCTACATATTTTATAAAGTTCAGTTATTTTGGCATTTTTATAGATCCCACCCCATCAACATTGAACTATACTTTCATGTCTCCTACGATTTTGGACGAGGTAAACCCTAGGTGATTTGGAAATGTTGATCTGGGGCCTCATTTGGGCCACTGGTTAGGTGGGCATGATGATGGGCAAAGGAGGCTTGACATTCAGCCTTTGCTCCCTGAGCTGCCCTGTGCCTAAAGTGGAAAAGTTACAGTGCTTGCATAAGTGATCTTCTGATTCTCTGTTAAGAAGAGAAAGTAATTTTAAAAACAGTTCAGGGAAAGAAAGAAGAACCCATGATCACATTGTGGCCATGCAGTTAAGCTTTAAGCTCAAAATGTGTTCCCCTTCCGGGAAAAATGAATTCATTTTCTCCTAATCTGGTTTTATCTTGGCACTATCAATTTAGTATGTGCCACAGAGAAGTCCAGGCATTGTTGTTGGTGTGTTGCAATCTGTGTTTCTCAGAGGAGGGTGTACAGTCATGCACCACGTAAGGATGTTTTGGTCAACAACGGACCACATATACGACAGTGATCCCATAAGATTAGTACCATGTACCTAGGTGTGTAGTAGGCTGTACCATCTAGGTTTGTGTAAGTGCACTCTGTGATGTTCACACCACAACAAGATCGCCTAACAATGCGTTTCTCAGACTATATCCCTGTTGTTAAGTGATGAGTGACTGTGTTTAAGATCTTTTTTGGGTTTGTTATAGAGGAACTTTAGGGTCATAGATGGTAAAGTCTTAAGGTAATTGAGTCCTCTGCCACAATGTCATTAGATTTTCTCACACAAATGGAGTGAAATTTATGGCTGCCATGTATAAAGATGCATTTACAACCTACTGAAACTAGAGACCCAGCCAAACATTCATCAGATTTTAGGGATCTGTTAATATTTTCTTCAGCCAAATTCAAGGATGAGGAAGAGGAAAGGGAATTGGAACAATCCCTTGTAGTTTTTTGTATCAAAATTTGACCTGTATTTTAGGGACATATGCTTTTTATTTCTTCTAAAAGAAAAATTATTTTTTCCATGCACTCACAGTACTGTGAAAAATTGTATTGATTGTATAGTGTTATTCTCATTTTACAGATGAATATGTTAGTGTCAGAAGTCAAAATTGAGCTGTTCTTGTCCTTGGTTCTGGTAATTCAGGGCTTTCTCTGCTTGAGTATGCCCCCAAATCAGGAATTCAGTGCAAGAGTTTTGAAGGTTTATGGCTTCTAATTTATTATTATTTTTCTTACTGATAAATATATATATTTGTATTTTTAAACTTTATTTATATATGTATTTGGTTTTAAAGCGAGGGTCTGTCCCTACTCTCCCTCCCCCACATCACCTCCTGTACATTAAGCCCTACATTTGTCTGTTTTGGGTAACCGTCTCTTTCACTTGCTATGGCTAGAATTTTGCAAGGTTGCCGAGTAAGACCTGTCAGCTGACACTTCCTCACATGAAAGCCATTAAGAGGGTGGTGTGGCCAATGTCAGAACAACCTTGCAGCTGAAGGCAAGTCACTGCATTTGCCCACAGCCATATGAATAGGTCTTGTGACCAATTAATTGGCTACTACACTATCTCCAACAGGGGAGCACAGATGGAGTGAGTCAGGCCAAGCTGCTCAACCTGTTGAGTGTTTTGTCTTTTGCTAACCGGAGCACAAGCTTAGGAACAAAAGTAGGAAGTGAGATTTGGACTTGTCTGTTTATAATGGGTTTGCTGAGAGCATGTTTTATAACTCGATGGATGCATCTGACTTCCTAATTCATTGGTGGGCTTAATTTACGTAACAAATGAGTGTTCCTTTTTTTTTTTTTTATACTTTTGAAAGAGGAAATCAGTAGGCTGCTGCCAAGTAGCTTGCCTCACCTACTCTGTAGGGAGTGCAATGATCATTTAGGACGGCTGGTCACTGTGGAATATCCCTAACAACAAAGGGTCTTCAACATTTGTGTCCAGGCCCATGTTGATAGTCAGGATAAACCAGAAGGTTAAACCGCTCAGGAGATGTGTGGAGGCACAACGGAGACTGCAAACCAGCCAAGGGGCTGGCAAGATTCAGCCAGATGTGTGAGTGACTCTGTTTCTGGTGCTGGGAGAACTTACAAGACACTTTTATGCACAAAGATTCGAAAATGTGCCAGGGTAGGAAGGGGCACCGATCACACGGAACTCGACAACAGGTTTGAAACTTTAGTTCTATTTCAAAATCTCAGAAAATTCTTAATTCGCTGTGTACCAAGCAGATGAAATTGTATTGATCTGAAAGTTGTTTTTTGAGAGTGCTTCTAAGTAGGGGACATGGGGTAGTTGGTGGGTGTGCAGAAATAAGTTCTTTCCTTTATAGAAAAGGTGTAGGCATGGGTAATTTTGTGACTTTCGATTCTTCTACCCATCTGCTTTCTCCTTAACTTTTCATTACCTCCGCTGGAGCCAGCTTGGTTACATCTTTTGTCCTATGTGAAGCTTGAACAATACTATTCACAATGATCCTCAGGAAAAAGAGGTGCAGTCCTGAAGTGCCACCGCAGTTGATAGATGGGACACAGGACTGGGAGATCTTACTTCTGTGTATGAATGGTGGGTGGATGGTTGTGCTTTTCCTATTGGAGGCAGGGTAGTTAGTGAGAGCCCACTTTTCCTCTTCTGGAAAATCCTTTTCATGGGAAGGATGGTATTAATGATGAACTAATTTTAATAATGGAGCTTATCTAAAAAGAATCACATAGTTGCTATATTCCTTTAGGTTGATTGTTTCATCCACTTTGGAAGAATTCATTAATTTTATTAGTAGTAGCTCTTAATTGAAACATTATTTGTAAAGAATTTTATTGCATATCAGTGAAAAGGAAAAATCCTTTGAGAATTGCAGTTCATTCCAAAATCTTATGTAGGTAGACGGTAAGGAGAGCCAAAGGTTAAACCCTGATTCTCATGATCAGTTTAAAAAAACTAAGTTTCTAAATTTACTTAAATGTTTTTTTTTCCTTATAGAAGTTTTTTCAAAATTAACATGTCTCATAAGCTGTTTATCCCATAAATATATTTCTTGGTTGGTTAAAAATAATCAGGATATAGTTTCTGTCATGTAAAAATCTTTGTCTTTCTTGAGCAGAAACTTAATAAAATGGCATATAGTCTACTCTAGTATAAGAGCCCAGTGGATTGGAGAGTTAGGGAGAAGTGCGGAAATCATTTTATGGGTGTTGGGTCACATGCTGTCCACTCATTTAAAGAGATATATTTGTAGAGGAAGCGGTAATGAATGACGTGGTACATTAGAAAAATACATTTGAGGGGGCCGGCACTGTGGCTTAGCGGTTAAGTGCATGCGCTCCGCTACTGGCAGTCTGGGTTCGGATCCCGGGTGCGCACCGGCACTGCTTCTCTGGCCATGCTGAGGCCGCGTCCCACATACAGCAACTAGAAGGATGTGCAACTACGACATACAACTATCTACTGGGGCTTTGGCGAGGAAAAAAAAAAAAAGGAGGATTGACAGTAGATGTTAGCTCAGAGCCGGTCTTCCTCAGCAAAAAGAGGAGGATTAGCATGGATGTTAGCTCAGGGCTCATCTTCCTCACAAAAAAAAAAAAAGAAAGAAAAATACATTTGAGTGTTCAGACAAGAATTTCACTTTTATATTATCTGTTTCTTATCAAAAAAGGACACCTGAGTGACAGGAAAGAGTAATGGATCACACTCAGTTTATCTGGATCTTGATCAATCTTGATCCTGATCCCCAGCTCTGCTGCCTAAGAGCCCTCTAACCATGAGTGAGTCTCCTGGCTTTTCTGGGTCTCACTCTCAACTATTAAGCTATGTGGTTGGTTCAGATTATTTAAAAAATTCTTTCCTCCTCTTAGATTCTAAGATGTAGCATCAGGACCTTCTGTATTCCCTATTTTTGTTATTCATACAGTTCTAGATTCTAGGGTGAAGATTCTATGCAGGGCCATAACAATTTGTTTTAAAAACTTCTGAAGTTTTTGGTATGAGCTTCTGCATCTCACTTTCGGTGAACTTGCTATTCTGTGGTGGATTTTAATCATTTAATCATTTTTATTTAAACAGCACTTTAAACTTAACAAAACATTATCTCCTTTCCTTATTTTAACTTCTCTGATTTACTTCTCTCATGCTGAGGTTTTTTTTAGAATTCTGTATAGTGATGACATATACTTGTCAATTAATTGGAATTCATCTCTAGTCAGACCAGTTGTCTTGGTAGACCTCGTCCACTTTCTCTTCCCCGTCCTACAATCTTGAAAACGTATTCGTTATTTGCAGTATTGTGCTTGGTTTCCTGAATTTCTCTAGGACCTGGGCCAACCTCCAGGGTAGAGTGAATTATTGACAGGAGCTTGCACTGTAAGGATCTGGCTCCAAAGTGCTCACGAGTTATCTGTTTGTCCAAGTCAGGTGGCAGTCAGTTAGGTGTGACTTCCAACTCCCTCTTTGCTCTTGAGTACCTATCTTAAATCAATAGTTTTAGATGGTCATCTTAGCTGAGCACACTGATAAGTAGTTTCTGTTTTTTTTTCCCTTTCCTCATGATTTTCCAGTTATTCAAAGGTGTGGAGAAAGATTCCACAAATCCACTGGAGTCATGTTGGATACCTAACAGTGGCCACAGTGTAAAACTGACGCGGTTCAGTGCAGAAAGAAACCTTTTATTCTTCCCATTATGGTCCATGTGGAATGAAACATTTTAGGGTAGAGGTTTGTCCCCCGTGTCTTCACTCCCATTCTCCTTAATCTCTAGAATGACAGATATTGGAGTTCAATTTATTTCACAAAATTCCAGAATCAACAAAAACCTACAGTTTGGTGAGGTATCTTAAATGGTTTTCAATAAAAAATTCCTTCTTAAAACTGAATTCAAATCTAGTAACTCTGAAATATGATGCTGGGTATATGGTGTAGTCTTTAAATAATGGCTTCCAATCTTCCTGCTGAAAATATCGACCATAGCAAAGCTGCTAATGACTTGATTTTTCAAACTTTCCCAGCAAATTAGTTAAGTCCCTGAGGCTGTTTATATGAGGAACCTGGGAGTATTTGCCAAGCTTATCTGGAAATCACTGTTTCTCTGATGGCAAGAGAAATTTTGACATAACCTTGTCTTAAAAAATATCCCCTACACACACTGAAGAGGAACTGAAACAAAGCACTTCAGAATCAATTGTGCTTTAAGTTTCATATCTCGAAATGTGGATTCAGAAGAGATTTTTTTGTCCTTCTTTAGAATCACCAGGACGGAAGGAGCAGAAGAATTAATGAATGTAGATATCTGACTTATCTACATTTGGATGAACTAATTCTGTTAAAAAAAGAAAGAAAGAGCCTTAGGTTGTTTGTGGTAGTTGCTTAACAAGAAAATAAGTATAGAAACCAGGGTGTATTTTCCACTAGTGAACTGCTTCATAGAGATAAGCTGACCATGATTTTACTACCAAGTCTTTATTTATAGTAGTTAGGATTACTGACTAGGAAATACAAAAATAGTCACAGATTTAGAGAGAGATATGCTAAGGCAAAAGACCAAAGAATTCTGAAGATTTTCCTAGAAGGCTATTAAAAGAAAGTCTAATAATGCAGGTTGTAGGGATGGGGAGAGTGTTTTTCATTGTGTTCTTCACCTAGAAACACTGTGTGAAAACCATTCTGCTTTGATACTACTTAGAAAATGTAGCTGTTGGACAGGTTGAATGAAGTGGGTAGAGAAAAAAACCAAACCCTAGTCAGCTGATGGTCTTGTGCCTTGTGACCAGCTTCCCAGGGAGGTTGTAAATTGCTGGGTGTGACTCTTTCAGATGCATTGGGTATTGCTGTCACATATTCTTCTGCCCTTCCTGCATTCCTTACCTTTTCACTGATTTTATGTGCCATGAGGAATTTTCTTTGGCTAGTTAAAAGAGTTTATTTCCCCTGGTTGATAGTTGAGATTTAGAGATGTAATTTGAGAATGATTGAGTGAATGAGGGAGAAATGAGGTGGTAAGTTAGTATTTCTACAAAGTCGTGTCTGATTTAGATTTAAAGAACATTCATCTTTTCCCTCTGAAGCCACATCTCTTCTTGGGAATGAATCAGAGCAGTCTTAGTACAGGGGTTTTGAAGGGAATGTGAACTCGCTTCATAGAAGCTGACAACTGACATAAACTTTTATCTGGGTCTTATTTTGGTAAGTATTGATGACATGACAGGGTAAAGCCCTCGTTATTAGCCACCATAACTGATTGTGTCCGGAATGACAATGGTCCAGACAGAAGACAAGGTTACTCTAACTCTGGGGTCCTCAGGTCAGTCATCGGGCAGCGGCTGAAACCTATTTTCCTCCAGTTCCTGCTCAGCTGTATGTATGTATGTGTGTATGCATGCATGCTGAAATGGAATGCTTGCTGTACTGGTCCACGATTCCTGGTTCTCCTGTTATAACTCCTATTGTGAGTCATGCTGTGGCTTAGCCGTATCCTTGTATTGTTGTAGTAACAAAAGCTGAACAATGATGTAGCCAGCCGTGGTGGGAATTGGTGAGAACAATAACCTATGACCTAAGACAATAATTAAACTCCCAGTCGAAACTCACCAAAAGGAATCCAGCTTGTGGGCTCTAGAAACACCAAGGTTGCTGGTAATTCTCTTCCCTTTCTATGGGATCCCAAGTTTATATGGGATGTTGGGTATCAGACATACGTCCATCCATCAACGTTTATATCTTGAAGGGTTTAATCCTTCTCTTATTAGTTTAAAAAGGTTTTAAAAAAATACTGCTCTCAGGTTTTTATAGAACAGATATGAATTAAAATCCTGTCTTTTTTCTCACTGTACCATTACTTTTCACTTTCATGCCTTACTCTGTCCAAAGCCAAAAAAAAAAAAACAAAACTGGGTAGAGCTAAGCTAGTTTTTCCGCTTACTAAGTTTTTGTTTTTGTTTTTTTTTAAATTTAACTCTAACATGTGAGAACCTAGACTGTAGTACTAGATATAGTGGAAGCATCTTTGACCTGGGGATCTTCTCTGCCCTGATCTCATGATCTGAGGGTTCATCTCTGCCTTGAACTCTTAGTGTTCTTAGGAACGTCACCTCATCTCTCTGTGTTTGTATTTTCTCTTCTAAAAAAAATTAAAGTGGAAGATTGGGTCAGTAATCCCCAAATATGTGAAATGTTTTAACCT